GTACTCTTCTCCAACACCACAGCTCAAAGGTATCAAGTCTTCTGATATCCTTATTCATTGTCTAGCTCTCAAATGCATAATAAGTCATTGAAAATACCATGGTCTGAATCAGGTACACGTCAGTTTTCAAACTTGCATTGTTGTTCCACAATAATTTGGAGTTGTCCCTGACTACAAACTTTGCTAGTCTTCCCTTCTGATCTCCTGATTGCTGATACCCAGGGCATTGATTGTGAATCCAAGTAAAATGAAGCAGTTAACAATTTCAATCTTTTCTCTATCAGTCCAGTAGTGAGACTTTGTTTTCTACATTGTGAAATCTACATTGTTGCTGTTCAGTGCTGTCCAGTTAGCTCTGACTCATATGTACAACGGAATGAAATCATGACTCATATGTTCTATACTAACAGTCTCTGCTGAGTTTTAACCCATTGTCAGCAACTGTTTCAATCCATCCTATTGAGGGTCTAATTTTCCTTCACTTGACCCTCTAGTTTTCCAAGCATGATGTCTTTTTGTAAGGATTAATGCCTGCTGTTGCTTAAAGTATATGAGTCAAAGTCCCACTATCTTTGCTTCTAAGAAGCACTCTGGCTGCACTTCTTTCAAAAGAACATTTGTTATTTTGTAGTCCAGTCAGCTTTCTTTGACAACATAATTCAAAAGCACTAATTCTTCTTATTGTTGTTATGTGCCATCAGCTGACCTTTTGGTGGGTTTTCAGAGGCAGTTAATTGCAAGGGAGGAGACTGTCCATCTTTCTCTCTTGAAGCAGCTGGTGGACTTAAACCACATGCCTTTGAGATCGCAGTGCAGCTTCTTGCCACTAAGCCACCAGAACGCCTTAGGTCATCCTTATTTATTGTTCAACTTTCACATGCACATGTTGTTGTTGTTATTGTTGTTGTTTTGTGTAGTCAAGTCACTTGCGACTCATAGTGACCCTATGAACAACAGACCTAACCCCTGCTCTGTCCTGTGTCAATCGCACTCTGACACACCCACCCCGATTACCTCAGTCACTGAATCAATCCACCTCATAGAGGGCCTTCCCCTCCTGTGCTGTCCCTCCACCCTCCCAAACATGATGCCCCTCTCCAAGGACCGGTCCCTCCTTATAATATGTCCACAGTATGTCAGACGAAGCCTCAGAATCCTTGCCTAAAAGGATAAGCCCAGTTTAACCCTCTCCAAGACAAATCTCTTTGTTTTCTTAGTAGTCTATGGTACACTCAATACGCTTCCACAGCACCACAGCTCAAAGGCATCAATTCCCCTTCTGTCCTCCCTAGTCATTGTCCAACTCTCTGATGCATAACAAGTGATTGCAAAGACCAT